GCAGCTGTTCACCCAGCACACACCTGTCTCTCTGGAGCACCTGTATGGCACAGGAATCAGAGAGAGACATGGAGAGTGGTGCAGCAAATAGGTCTGGAGAACAGTTACATGACCTTATATGAAGAATTCCCTGGACTTTAGGTTCTCTCCACAGTGTATATGTCAGTGCTTGTGTGGGGGCGAGCCCAGCACCTTCTCTGGTGCCACCCTCTTTCCTGGCCTTCACTCATTTCCATTTCTATCTCTGCCTTTCCCTTGGGGTCAGATCACACCTGCTGGGGTCCTAATTCTTGGAGAGATGAAATGCCAGAAAATGGAATTCTAGAAAACTGTAAATAAAACTATAAAACTCAGTTCTCTGAACCTCAGCCATTTAAGATTTCACACACAAGACTGCAAAAATTTGAATTCAATGATGGTTCCTGGAGGTGATGGTTCCTGGGTGTGATGGTTCCTGGAGGTGATGATTCCTGGAGGTGATGGATCCTGGGTGTGATGGTTCCTGGATGTGATGGTTCCTAGAGGTGATGAATCCTGGGTGTGATGATTCCTGGAGGTGATGGATCCTGGGTGTGATGATTCCTAGAGGTTATGGTTCCTGGGTGTGATGGTTCCTGGAGGTGATGGTTCCTGGAGGTGATGGATCCTGGGTGTGATGGTTCCTGGGTGTGATGATTCCTGGAGGTGATGGTTCCTGGAGGTGATGGATCCTGGGTGTGATGGATCCTGGGTGTGATGATTCCTGGAGGTGATGGTTCCTGGAGGTGATGGATCCTGGGTGTGATGGATCCTGGGTGTGATGATTCCTGGAGGTGATGGTTCCTGGAGGTGATGGATCCTGGGTGTGATGGATCCTGGGTGTGATGATTCCTGGAGGTGATGGTTCCTGGAGGTGATGGATCCTGGGTGTGATGGATCCTGGGTGTGATGAATCCTGGGTGTGATGATTCCTGGAGGTGATGGTTCCTGGAGGTGATGGTTCCTGGGTGTGATGGTTCCTGGAGGTGATGGTTCCTGGAGGTGATGGTTCCTGGGTGTGATGATTCTGAGAGGTGATGGTTCCTGGAGGTGATGGTTCTTGGAGGTGAAGAGAGTGGATGTGTGAGCAGCAATCTGAGTGTCAGTGGCCCTCCTTCAGGGGGTCTGTGAGGCCTGCCATGCTTTGTCTCCTCGGGCTCACAGGCTGAGTAGAAACTCCATAATCCTTGGTGGAAACGTATTCCTGTTTGGTCACATTTAATTTAGAAGATAATTGCCTTATCTACAAAATCAGTTTTTGGATGAAGGAGTTTTCAGTGGGTGAATGGGAGGTAGCCTTTATTAAGTACCTATAGCAGGGGCCCTCTTATAACTAGGACTTTACCTCACAGCTCTGTGAGGTGGGCATTGTTAGCTCCAATCTCTAGAGGAGAACAGGAGACTCAGAGAGGGTAAGTGACTTGCCCCAGGTCACCCAGAGAGTGTGTGCCAGCCAGCATTTCCGTCTCGATTGGACGGATTGGAAGCCCCACTCCCAAGATGCGCCCACGGGCTGCGGCTCGGAACTTGCCTACCTGTCCAGCAGCTGCGTGCCCATGAGGCTCGGGTACGGAGTGTGGCTGGTATGACTGAGCACGCTTTCACCTTTTTGGAATTGTAATTAATATAAATTTAAAATTAGAAACTGAGGCTCCATTCAGTTATTGGAGGACTTTCATGTGTGTTTGGAACAACTTGGGCATGTGAACTGCTCTTTCAACCGTACATGTGACACGTTAAAGACAGGAGAGGTTAAATGTTCCTGAGACAAATAGCTGTCCCAGCTGAGACACCTGAATTATAAAATACCCCAGATTTGGAGGTGCATTGACTACATGTTGAGGTATAATATTTTGGACTATTGGATTAAATAAAAATATTTTAGAGATTAATTTCACCTGTTTCTTTTCCGTTTTTATGTGGCTATTAGAAAATTGAAAAGTAAATATGTGGCTGCAATTTTATTTCCATTGGAGAGTGCAGTTCTAAAGCAGATTTGTTTGTTTTTGTTGATCCTCACCCGAGGGTCTTTTTCCATTGATATTTTAGAGTGGAAAGGTGGGGGAAAGACAGAGCAAGAGAAACATGGATGTGAGAGAGACACATATATTGGTTGTCTCCCACATGCACCTGGGGATCGAGCCTTCAAACAAGGTACGTGGAATCGAACCTGGGAACCCTTCTGTGCATGGGCCGATGCTCTACCCACGAGACAAACCGGCCAGGGCTAAACCAGAATTTTAAATAAATGAATGAAGTTTGTTAACTTGTCAGGTTCACTGTATGCAGCACAAACTAGTAATACAGCACAATCTGCAAACAGACTGATGTTCCTGCCAGCGACCCCATGGGCCCGCAGACCCCAGTCTCGGGAGGCCTTCTGTGAAGGGGAAGGCACCCATCTCGGGTGACACTTTCAGAGCAGCAGGCAGCAGGCACCAGGCCCGAGTGCAGGCACCTGCAGGCTCCAGAGGGAAGTGATTACAGGGGTGAGCAGGGAGTGGGCAGGAGAAGGGCGCTGATGCGGACTCGGTCCTGCTCAGAGGGGCTTTCAGATGCCCCGCTGGTCCAGGCCGTGGAAGGAGCCCCAGCCACCAGTCGAGGCCTCTGCGGGAGCACGCCCAGTGGGAGCAAGGCAGATGTTCTTGTAGTCCAAGGGTGGGCAAACTTTTTGACTCGAG